ATTTGACATCTGTTTGTTCCTGAGTTATAAAATTTTAAATAACGAAAGAAATTTTTCCCATGTTATTTCTATAAGAAACTTAGATTGGAATGCGGACTATCTTAGAGTTAACATTAAGAGCTCAAATTTTCAGGAAATTTTTTTTTATTAATTTGGAAGCATTTGAGCCCCTGGGAGCAAAGAAATTCGAAAACACCCCTCCCAGGGAGAAACGTAAAGTCGAATAGATGTATAGCAGACGTCTATTTGATATGTCTAAAATAGGTCGATTTTCGCATCTAGATAGACGTCGTGGTGGTCTCTTTTAGACGCGTCTAATAGACGTCTTATAAAACGTCTATAAAACATCTACAAAACGTCTATAAAACGTTTTGTATGAAACCCGTATCAGACCACGCATTAAAGATTGAGATTGAAGATTGAAATTTGATCAATAAAGAAATTATAATTTTTGTCCTGATTAGTCAAATTCCAGTCTTTAATCTTCAACCTTCAATATGCATTATAGTTTGATACGAATTTAACAGATTGTTAATACGTACAATATAAATTCATTTCAGTTGAAAATAATAAACACAATTTACTAACTTTTGTCACATTATTATTTATAACCTATTAGAATATTTTTTTAAACACATATAATTTGAAGAGAGTGTAAGAGCGTCGAATCTTTTAAAATGTGAATTATTAAATTTATAACCTTCGCACATTTACACTCAAGAAGCTATATACTTAATATGCAATGGTTGATTAAATATCAGGCGAACATATTAAGTAAGGAAGTTGCGCTATCTAAAATTCCAAAAATTTTTTCAAATTTTCAACAATTCCTATTATTTCAATTTCCGAAATTTGAACTATGAAAAATAGAAAAAGTATTAGGAAAACGTAATCGGCAAGGAGATCAATAATCATTTCATTTTCATAAACAAAACTGTTGCGTTTATTTTATCAATTACTTATACAGCTAAAATATTTTTATTTTTACTCGCCATAGATTCCTATTATGATAGAAAAATCATTTTCCATTTTAATTACAGGAAGTTTGTTTAAATAAAAATTAACAGTAGTTCTAATAAACTTTTATCCTTTTTGTGTTTGTAATCGTTGCATTACATTTTATTATTATTATTATTATTATTATTATTATTATATATATAGTTATACATAGTTATTATATATATATATTATAATAATAACTTATTTTCTGACAAAATTCGAGTCGATCTTTTCAAGGAAGTCTTTCAACATTACCGCTTTTGATTTTTTTGTCTTAATTCTTTCTTCCTTTGGCATTTCGCAGCCATGATCTGAGGGTTTTCAATGCTTCACTCAGATCACTTTGATCAAATTTTAACAACAGTGTACCTAAAAAATCAACAAACGTATTGATTAAAAAGATCAACATTTGCCAGAAAAAGGAGTTAATAAAATTAAATATTAAAATTACATAATAAAAAAAACTTTCTATAAAGAAGAATATAAGTGTCAGAGCAAAAATATTCAGCTGGATATGACGGATATGACTCTTTTTTCTTCTCTCTTTTTCATTTATTACTAGCTGAGTTCCGAAAAGCGTATTTTACACACGCACGCACGCACGCACGCGCGCGCGCCCATACACGCGTACATGTACACTTCGCGGTCACGGAACTCAACTACTTATTTAGTCACTAACCTTGCACCAATTCCCATAATTTTGTGGATTTAAAAGCCAATTTGGCTCCATGACCATCGAAATTAAATTCTTGGGCAAGAGAGTTACTCATGAGGTTTGACATAAGTTTAGGTACTGCTCGAGCCTCATCATTTCCCAAAGGAAAAGACTTTAAATAGTAACACTAAAATAAAAAGAGAATTTTGATATAGAAACAAATAAAGGCTATTATCCATCATTATAATATCAAGTAAAGAAATGTATAATCTAATAATAAATAATAAGATTTGCAGAACACTCTACTAACTTTTGTCAACTTTGAATGAAAGAAATAACAAGAGTGTTAAAAGAAAGAAGATGTAGCAAAATCGTAAAAAACATGATAATAATTCTATAAGGATAGGCCACCCAAGGTAATACTGTTTGTCAGTCTAATTGGATACACTATTTTGTTCATGAACAGCATTTAGAGTGCTTTAGAAGAGTTATAATAGAGTATACTTCCACTTTACATCACAATCGTGCAGAAATAATACTCTCTCCTTTTATATTTCTTTTCTAAGCTTATAATTTCACGTTAAAAAGTAAATATTCAGTTCAATGGAGCTATCTTTCATAATTTTGATCTTAACAATGTTTCAAAGTTTTTGTGAAAACTAAATCAAAGTTATTAGAGATGACTTTACTAAATTGAATGTTTATTATGAAAACCTATAAAACATCACTTACTGTATCTGCAAGCTGTACGTCATTTGAAAGAAATTTCTCAAATATTTTAACCTGTTCAATGGTATCCAAAAGAAGTGCAGGCATGTTTGGAGGTTGAAAGAGAATTTTTTCTTCTGGCAATAAAAATCTGTTCATTTTACATTGATTTATAAGTATCAAGTCAAGTTTTGCTCTCATATTGTCTACTTTTTGGTTCACCAGGGATTCTTCCAGATCTGTACATAATAATTACATAATTACTTAATAATAAACCACAAATATTGAAAAAAAGATAAAGCACATGTATTTCTTATCAAAGTTTTAGAGTAATGTTTGAAACAATTTACGGAAATGATATGATTTCTTATTATTAAACGTAGTGGTCCTGTAGTCAATTTTGATGTCAAGACAGTCTGTGATGAATCTAGTGA